CAAAACTAAAAGTAAACTAATCAACATTGTGTTGGGTCTATCGAGGAGAAGGTTCCATGTGAGTTATACAAACACCAATAACATTGGAGCCAACTATATAGGGGATCGACATCACTCTTTACCCAAAACCTTAAGGCAATGGGTTAACGAGTCTTTCATCTTTATATACTGCTCTACTTTCTTATTTCTATCCAATGTGAGACTTAGACTCACACTTGGATTCCCAACACATTCGTATTTTCTTAATTGTGTCTTCTGATATATGTGATGTATTCTTGAAACACTACAAAATTAATTCAAATTCATTATGTTTGCATACAAATGTTCAAAGCTGAATGTGATTTGTAATGTATGGAAGATAAGTATTATTACCTCAATTCAGTCATATGTAATTCATGCTCGAATGATGGTTTTAATCCAAGACATAACATAATAACCATACTCCCATGAATTTAGCTGTTTGTTACACTAAAATGAAAAAGGAAATAGTCACATATGTAGATCATACAATAACATAGAAAATGAATAAGTAAAATATCAATGAGTTCCAACCTTTGGATATAATATTTGTACTAAATGCCCTCTGAGTTTACCCAAACTCTATTTACATTGAAAACATAGGATAATATTAATATAACTATATTCATCATAAGAAAATCATACATTTACAACATGGATTTGTAACCTTTGAAACATAAAAATGTGAACTTTCAATTCTGATTTTGGTGCTTCAATCAAAGGGTTTGGCGTTTTATGTAGAGGAGCTGACGTCTATATGGAATAAGACGTCAAGGGAACAAGTAGTTGGCGTTAACTTTGCTATTTTATTTACAAATATGCCACTAGTCATTTTTTATATTGATTATTTGGCGATTAAACGTTGTACACATGACTTTATAAGTTGTTTTTTTTATGGTACAAAACTTGAAAACACTTTTCTTAAGATTGAAAATCTAGTGTTTGCTAATAACATGGTTATCAAACTCGCGAATTAACTCATTAACTCATTAACTTGGTCTAGTTTACGATTCCACTCAATGTTTCTTAGTTAACTTGGAAGCAAACTCGGGAATGGTACGTAGAATTAGCAGACTCGTTGGTGGATTCATTACTCTCGCTCGAAATCCCGAGCTTGCTTATGATTTGGCGAATTTGTGAGGAAATTTTTAAAATGTAAAATGAAGTCATTTTTTGCTCACGAGTTTAGGTAGATTAGGTTTTCTGATTTAGAGTAAGTGACAAAACTCATTTGTTCCTCTCTTGCGATTCACTTAGGCCCTGCTATTGTTCTTGCGATTCATCTCCTTCGTTCCTTCTTGCGATCTTACTTGCGCCCTATCTCGAGTCGTCACTCGCACGCTTGTTCACCGTCGGGAGCGTGCTCGTTCATTGTTGCTCGCACGCTCGTTTGTCATCGTGAGCGCTTCACTCATTGTCGCCCACGATCTCGTTGTCAATGGTGGTCGCGCACCTCCTTTGTTGCCTCTGTTTCGTACATCATCTAAAAAATTCCTATGTTTTTAAGTTTAACTCTGTTTTCAAGTTGGTCTCTACATTGTTTGGTTGTTCGTATGCCCCTGTTAAGTAAAGTGTTGCACTATTTTTAAGTTCTAAAGAAAATTCTCTATTATACTGCTTGACTTTTATGTTTTGTAGTGAAAAAACTTATCTTATTATGTTTGGAAACCCATCAAATTGGAGGATTCCAGGATTACACTTTTACAATTGTATAATATTTATATGAACAATATTTTTATGTATTTATTTATTTATTTAAAATTATATAATTTTGTGGATTTATTTGAATTAGAATATTATTTATATAATTTTTTCAAGCAAAGTAAATATTTATTACTGATTACAATCTATTATTTATTTTCATTCATTGTGTTATTATTATTAAGAGAGGTAAGGTTTTTATGTTTTCTCTTAAGATAGATATAATCCTCTTCTCTTATAAATTATTTTTTTGGAAAATGAAAGAATGGAAATTTATCTACTAAGATTTTTCGCTTAGCCATTCCATCACTCGCCTAACGAGAATACCAAACACTCTTAGTAAAAAAGCTGCCTTGTCCAAGATAGAGAAGTTAGATGTGAAATAGAAGTTAACTTTCGCCCAAAGAGAATATATGTTCGTCTAGCAAAAGGATAATTTTTGAGAATGGCTAAAATATTGAGAGTTAAATGAAAAAAAAAAGAAGATAGTTTTTGGCATGGGAAAGTGGCTAAAATTCATAACAAAGGAAATGCGCTTTTAAGGAAGAAAGACTCATCTTTTTTCATTTCATCAATTTCATCTAACTTGTATGTTTTTAGATGTCTAAAATAGTTAAACTTCCATTTGATTGGGATGAATATAAGGTCATATACTTGGTAGCCACCAGCTTAGGCAATGTTTGGATCAATTAATTAATGTCTTGAAGTGAGTAATAGAAAATAAGCTGATTCTTCCCAGAAACCAGGGTCTATCTAACGTTGATTGGTTTTATGAGATTTGTAGCCTGTTGCTTTTTACGTTGTCTCCTTCTCAAGCCAGAATCTACACGTGTAACCTAATCCTTACTCTGCAGTGCAACTGCATGGCACCGTGGCACGTGTATAGCCCCGACACGTGGTGCTTAAAACTGAAACAAGATACGGAGCAATTAAAAATCATTTATTTATTTTTAAAAAATGGCATCTTCTTTCAGTCACCGACTTTTGCATCCTATATATGAGTACCCTTCACTCCGATATTTCATCATTCAAAAACTTGTGATTGTATTCTTCTGATAGATACTGAGATACACTACTATAACTCAGATACTGAGAGAATCACTGTACTGCTACTGCATTAGAGATGAGTTCACCTAAGAGAGCTTGGACTGTGGTTGTAGGTGTTGGAGTTGTGGAGGCTTTGAAGGATCAGGGTCTCTGCAGATGGAATTCAGGATTCAAGTCAGCTCAGCAAAGTGTGAAAAACCATGTTGGATCGTTTTCACAGGCAAAGAAGCTTTCTTCTTCCTCTTCTGCTGTGGTTTCTAGCAAAATGCATGAAGAGAATGCCACACTGTCAGAAGAATCCTTGAGGAAAGTCATGTACTTGAGTTGCTGGGGTCCCAGCTGAAGGAAAGAGAAAGACAACATGGATAAAACTTTTCTGTTCTTTGAATGTGGACCATGAAGAAATTGTGCCGCATCGAGAAGGAGATTTCTCTTGCCATTTTTGGTCTGCATTCATTTATATTATTATTACTGCTATCTGTTCATTGTATAGAATCATGAAGAATATCAATTCAGTGAAATTTCTTCAATCTTCGTAGTTTCCCTTCTACTAATATTGCTTATTTACATAGCATTGTTTAGAAAGAGAAACAACCCAATTAATATTTTGAAACTCTTTTAATTGAAGAGAATTCAAAAACTCAATTAGTAGATATACTTGTATTGTAACCCTTCCAATAAAATATCGATCTATGTTATGTTCATGCACAAGTCATGTATGGTTCTGCAACAATATATACTTTATTAAATCTGATATAACATGACATATTCTTTGTCAAAGTAGCTAAAATATTATAGCTATTATTGTGGAGTGCATGTGCAAGAATTATATTATCACGTCTATAGCTTAATATTACTTTTATTAACTTAATCACATTTTTGCATAATTTATTATGTTACAAAAAACTGTTGCACGACTAAAATTTCTCAGGTCAACAATATGATTCTGCAAAGATCGATTTGATGTGTAAGAACATTGGCAGTGCTGTATGTAAGATCTCATTGTTATTTTACGTGATTCTACTGGAAGTAAACGCAGACATCCAAGCTTTTTGGTGAGAAACTTAAAAAAAATTAAACAGTACAATAAATCGATTTAACTTTTCAGTCTTTTACCCTGTATAACATATTGTTGGTCATCAGATGATTTTTTATGTGAGTTTATTAAATAAAAGTATATTTAAATTATTCAACAAAAACTTACCTTGGAACCTCAATTATTAGGTGCCAAACAGATAAGAGTGTGTTGATTTGCCAAGCAGGCATAATAGTGACAGCAAAAACTTGTACTTAAATATTTTATTGTTTAAGTGAGTGCAACACTTGTATGACAGGGACAGGTGGTCCTAAAACTACGGATTCATTGAACTTGATTCCAAATCTTTATGCACAGCAAAACCACTGGCTACCCCAAAACCAGTTGCTAGCTAACCAATACTTTATGCCTATGGTTTTTCTAAATCTTTGGCTGTTTCCTTAGTTTAGCAGTTTGTCAGACATCACATTCAAGTGCTTCTTCTCAATATAAAACCACCTTCATTTCAATTGATCTCTCAATCTAAAATCCTGCAATATATTTCTTCCATTCGTTTAAATCACACTGCAGTATCAAGTCCCAATTGGGTTACTTTTTTATCCTTCAAAAATCAAAGCAAGAGTTTCTTTGAAGAAGCCTCATACAAGATGTGTTCAGCAGGCAGAACTTGGGCTGTGGCAGCCAGTGTTGGAGTTGTGGAGGCCTTGAAGGACCAGGGTCTTTGCAGGTGGAATAATGCCTTAAGATCAGTTCAACATCAAGTAAAAAACAACGTGAGATCCTTGTCTCAGGCAAAGAATCTTTCTTCCTCTTCTTCTGCTATGGTTTCTGGTAGATTGAAGGAAGAAGGGAGAAAACAGTCAGAGGAATCATTGAGGACAGTCATGTACTTAAGTTGTTGGGGTCCCAACTAGAGTCACAAGGCAATTACAAAACTTTGTGTCTAATTTGATTGAACCTTTGCCCCCAAGGGAAGGTGGGGCAGAGATTTCATGGTCATGTCCGAGAATTGCAATTCTATTGTGACAGATTTGGATGTAAATTTTGATGAATGAAAACTATCTGATTGTGTTAAACCATTTCAAAATTTATCTGCTTTAATGTTTTCATTTTTTATTAATGCTTGGTAAATCTCAGGGGGTGAAACATAAGTTTACACCTTCATTTCACTGTTGAAACTTGCTAGATTTCAGCAGAAAAAAAATTTGGGAGGAAGGAAACACCATTTATTGTTTATAAACTTGATTAAACAAGAACTAAAACAGGACTCTTTCTTTTGGGATTAGAAAATTGAGGCTTTTGAAAAATGCAACTAAATTTGGATATGCCTTTTCCCCCTAACATAATAAAAATACATAAATAAACTACTATTATGCTTAACGATTAAGTAAGAAACAATTTAGATAAGGATCTCAAAAAAAGATTGTTATGATCCATATCTCCTTGAGAATTACTATTCTCTGGGTAGTGACAGTGCCACACCTGCCCTGGCAGAAACAATCCATGACCTGGTTTTTGATTATCATATGTTAATCTTGAATTGGTATTAGGCCAAAAGAAAAAGAGAAGATGGTGGTTTTTTATTTGAAGTAATATGAAAATTGATTAGTAAACTATTATGAGACCTTTTAGCAACTTTTATTTATTTATAGAAAGTAGCTTTTGGGCGAGGTTGTTGGATTATTCCAAGCACATTACTAATTAAAATAATTACGGATTCATGATAATATGATATATTATTGTATAATTAGAATAAGAGGGGGATCCAGTTAGGCAAGAGGGGCCATAACAGAGGCAAAAATCAGTGATTTTTGTGGGACTATTCTTAATAAAATCACTTGCCAGTAATGTTCTACAACCATATTATGTAATGGTGGCTAATAAAGAAGCGAGAAGTAGCTTTATTTTCTGTGTTCGTTTCAAGCACAAGGATAAATAATAACAATAATAATAAATTAAAGGGAAGAGAATACAGAGAAATACCAATCCATGGCTAGATTTATTTCGACCGTGATGTGGTTAGATATGAAGCAAACTTTATTTGGATTGCTGAGTTTGTTTTTGTTCTTATCCCAAATTGCTTTTTGCTTGAAAGAGCAAAAATCACAGCTCATCCCACACTTTATATGTTGTCACTGTATTTCGCTTTGGATTAAAGTCTATTTTCTTTTGTGTTATAATAATGTCTCAAAAAGATCTTGATGTTTTTAAGCTATTTCTCATAAAAATCACATTTTTGTGTTTTTATTTAAAATAAGTTTGCAACTAGAAGCAATTACTATTGGATAGATAAAAGGTGTGATGCCCCTGTTACACATATGTCAAATGTTGATAAGAAGGAGCAAATGATTGCAGAGAAGGAAGAATCACAACAACTGTAAAGCCCGGGAATCCATGGCATAAGCGAAACGGACCTCAAACACACAAATCAAATGCACAGGATTGCTGCAATGAGTCCGAATCCAATTTTTCATTCCATTCCATCACAGTAAAATTGACGCCACCATCTCTGCTACCAAATTGTCTCACTCATAAAGGTACTTACCAGTACAAGGTAATTACCACCGTTTTCGACAAAACAAGAAAAAAGGTTGTAAATCAAACACGACACAACAGAGCCAAGGGTCACATTCAATACCTTGGCTTTTTCTCGGACAGACTTGCTACGTTCGAGCGTTTTTACCAACAGACACAACTCTCATAGTATTTCTGCCATACCTGCCAAATCTACCTTCCTGCTCCTCTCTCACTGAGCCCAAAGCTTGAAACTTTGCAGGCTTTTCTCTGACCTAGTTGCCGGAAGTCGCGGTTACCGGTGAAATGGAGGTGGAGAGTGAAAAATCAGGGTCTGTTGGGAAGGTTTGGAGTTTTTGTAGAAAGCCATTTTGGCAAACAACTCACACTCCATCTTCTTCTTCTTCATCTTCCACATCTTACAACATGCACAATGCTCACCAGAATAATCTTCAATCTGTTGATAGATCCGGTCAGCATTCTTCGACCACGGTCTCATCAGTGGCAAAGTCTTTGCTCCCTACAAAGAGGAGGCTCCGTCTTGATCCTACCAATAAGCTTTACTTTCCATGTAGGTGTCTCTTGAAACTTGTTTATTATGTTATAATAAGCAATGTTATACCTTCTGATACATCTTTTCAATATTTTATATGTTAAGTATCAAATGAAAAAGGAAATATATTTAATATCTTAGACACATAAAAAACTATTTAATACTTACAATATAAAGGAAGCAGAGGATTTATATGAAGATATTATAAGAAGATTTAGAATTATTCTCTTGTGTGTGTGTGTGAGTGTGTTGAATTTCGTGTGAAATTAATTTTTTGTTTCAATTGCTTGGTCTAGATATTTCATTTTCATTTTGCAGCCTTGTGAATGGCTTGCTCTGATCATAGTTATCATGGCTAACGTTCACATTTGTCCATTCCGTTTTGTTTTACCTTGCTTTATTGTTTTGCTACATTTTAAGGTGATCTGTCTTTTAATAGATGAAATCAAGTACATGATGATGAGAAAACGGATTCATTGATTTGTTTGTAGTGGATGTTAGGTTTGTCCTTGCCTGATTCAATGTGACTTTGTTTTGATTTGAAGATGAACCTGGTAAGCAAGTTAGGAGTGCAATCGCAATCGAAAACACTTGCAAGTCTCATGTAGCTTTCAAGGTGTGGTTTCTGTTTCTGTTTTCTTCTTTGCCATCATTTTCTTGTATTCAGAAATTATGTGTGAGACAACATTATCATCATGTTACTCCATATCATAAATTGGCTAATAACTCTGTCATTCATGGTATTCATCGAATGATGTAGAAAACTGTAAGTTTTAGTCTCTACACATGCATGAAAGTTAAGTTTTGGTAAATTACTATGGGAAATGTAATTTGTTGATCATGACCCTCTTCATATAGGGTTTCATCATGGCATATATCTATAGGATGATATGAACACTGATATTTTTATATACTGCCTTTTTCTTATGTGTATCAACTATTTAGGTTACTCCTAATGCTGATACATTTTTTTTCTTAGTTTCAAACAACAGCACCCAAGAGTTGTTATATGCGTCCTCCAGGTGGTGTTCTTGCCCCTGGTGAAAGTATAATTGCCACCGGTAATTTGTGATTTTAAACTCGTGCTAAGTAACATAGCCAAATGCTTAGAAATTGGTGATTCCTCTTATAACTGTCTCACATCTTTGGCAGTATTCAAGTTTGTGGAGCCACCAGAGAGCAATGAGAAACCAATTGAACAAAAAAGCAAGGTTAAGTTTAAAATCATGAGCCTAAAAGTGCAAGGTGAAATCGATTATGTGCCTGAACTGGTAATTTATTATTGCTCCTTTTGATGATATCTGGCATCAACATCGTAGTTTTCATTTGTATCTTAGCTTGTTCATGTAAGATAGAGTTTAAACCTTCTTCCTGTTCGTGGGACAGTTAACATTTTCTTGATGTTGTATATGTCTTAAATCAGTTGTTTTTTTGTTGTGTGGAAAAACTGAAGATATTAGTTTAACCAATGATGTTGTTCAACGAATTTGTATTCCATGTGTGTGCTGTTGAATTTTTTAAGATAATTTTTGCTTATAAATAGTTCAAAGAGATTCCATTTTGTACGAATGCGAGTTTG